TGGCATGAGAATTAGCCAAAACCACCTAATAAAAGAGAAGCAATGAGCCAGCAAAGAAGAAAGAAAAGGTAAATCAGCATTACTGTATTATGGTAAAGGAAAAAAAGTCAAACAGAATACTGTCATTTTCAAACACAAAACATGGGGCCTCATCTGTACACAAATACATAATATATACTGGACATTTGGGTTTTCAAAAACTCTGAAGACCATGAGGGAAACACTGAAGGGATGACCACCAATGAAGTTCCCTAACTAGATGGGAGAGAGTTGGTATTTGAATATTCACTTCACATATCAAAGTAGTGATAATTTATTCAATCTGATGCTCTACAAACCACACACATCTGTATCATTGGCTATATCTACACGCAAATTGATCTCAGTAACTCATTCACTCAAAGTATATTATATGAGAATTTACTCTGTCTTTAGCAAGTCTATATGACGGGGGACCCCCAAAAAACCAGAATTATCTCTTGGATGGCAGGCCCCTTATAGCACAAGTTTCCCCTGCTAGGTAAGTGTTCTAGGAACTCGTCTGCATCAGTATACCATCTAGGGCTGTTGTGAGAGACTGTTTGACTTCAGTTAACTTCTATTTGAAAGATTCTGTCAGTGCAGTTACACGAACAACCTGCCCACACCATGCTAAATGTTCAGCAATTTTTGACCAAAAATGGCATGTCTCTCCCTATTCACCCAATCCTGCCCTGAGCAAATTTTTTCTTTTTAATTTCCCTGGATGAAAACGTATTCAAAGGAAAACATTTTGCCGACGTGGAAGAGGTAAAAAAAAAAAAAAGAAAAGAAAAGAAAAGAAAAGAAACGGCAGAAGCACTGAAAAAGCATCAAAATTGACAAGTCCAAAAACTGTTTTGAGCAGTAGAAAAAGTGTCTGGATAGGTGTTTTGCACCAAATAGAGAGTACTTTGAAGGTGACTAATTTTTAAACATGTAAGAATACACACACACTTTTTTATAAATAAATTCTGGGTTTTTGGGTCCTCACTCATACGAGACATTTCTAAAAACATATTTTGCAGCTGGGCACAATGGTTCATGCCTACAGCACCAGATACTCAGGAACATGAGGTGGGAGGATTGCTTGAGGCCAGGTGTTCAGCACCAGCCTGGGCAACACGGTGAGATTCTGTCTCTTACAAATTTCCATAAAAAGTGTTTTTAAATGACAGAATTCAGCACTCAAAAATCCAACTACTTAAATTACCTATTCCTCTAAGGTTCTAGCTGCAAAGGTTTTATTGGCCATACACATATTTACAAATACATTTCTATATATAAATTTTCTAGCCACTAAATTATAAAATGATGTGACCATGTCTAACTTAAATGCTATAAATGCTCCATAACATGAAAGTAGTTCAGTGTACTTTATGGATTAGTCAATTACTACATGATGATAATACTTTAAAAAGTAAAGTATTTCAAAAATTCTTACAATACCATAAAAATATAAAAATAGCTCTAAATAGAACATATTACTTCTCAACTATATAATTCCACTTCAGCTACATTAGTTCTCTGTACAAAATACAAAAGTGAAAATATATCATTTCTAAATATAGCATATGATACTATTTCCACCAACTTGAGGAAAGAACCAAAGTGGGTCAAGCATTTTGCTATCATAGTTTTTAAATTTGCATAAAAAATAGAAGCTGGCACTAATTTATCATAAAGAACGCTATAATAAAACATAAAGCAAACAGCTACCAAAAACACATGCTAGGGCTTTGATTTGAAAAAGCAGAGGTCTCAGACCCAAAAGGCTTAAAAGAGGTTCAAAATACATACCCAAGGTTCAGTACCCTGATTTTATAGAGATTACATCTTATGCTCTTCAGCATTAAATAAACTCAAAAGAATTAAAGTACTTTTTATTAGATAAGATGATTAGTTATTCTTAATTAAAGACTATGAAAAATGGGGTTAAAAATCTAGAAAACAATCAAAAGATAAACATGCTGCTCAAAACAGATCATGAACAAAGTCCCAAAATGAATGAATGGTAAGGAGCTCTTTAAATCTTTTAAGATTAAAGGTGCCTTGCAAATTCAAAGCAGTTTTCCAAAAGACATTCATCTCTACTTGAAACAAACACAAATTCTAAATGAGAAGTAGAAAAATTCAAACTCTTTCCCCTCTGCATTATGTTCCTTAAAGCAAATTCCTTGGAAATCACCAGTGTAAAGGATTCCAGACCCAGCTACCAAAGGCAGGATGCAGGGGCAAGCATGTATCATAAATACTTCTACCATACGTGCTAATTCATGCATTCCACATATACTTAATGAGCACTCAGCATTTGCCAGGTGCTGTTTAAATGCTAGGGCTATTAAAGACACAAAAGAGTTAAGGCACAATGTTAACCATTCAGGTGATGGCACACTAGAAACCCAGACTTTACCACTATGTAATACATCCATACAGCAAAACTGCACTTTTACCCCTCAAAACTGTAAAAATATAAAAGTAAAAGTAATGAATAAAAATAGTCCTTGCCCTCAAAAAGCTCCCTCTGGTTGAGAGGGAAAAAACAATAAAAGAAAAATGTATTATGCCAGATGATAAGTGGTAAAACAAAGCAGGGAAGGGGTTAAACAGCACTGGGAGGTTATTATTTAACAGACGGTGGCACAGAGTCTTTTCTGCTAAGACTACGCTGGGGTTGGGTCTGAAGGGCGTGAGGAAGCCAGCCAGGGGAACATCTGTTTCCTGGCAGAGAAACAGCTCGTACGAAACACCTGAAATGGGAGCATGCTTGGTGGATTCAAGACACAGCAAGGCAACCCATGTGGCTGAAAAATAGTGAGTGAGTGAAGCAAAGTCTGGTAGTGCCAGGGAAGGTAGATTCCGGAAGTGCCATCTAAAGGACTGCACTGAAAGAACTACCCTTTCAACTTGAAGTCCTTAATATCATTCATTATCTTCTCCTTAGCCAAGTTATCACCCATTAAGACTGTAAAGAATGACACTCATGGGCCATGTCCATATGATATGCAGAAAGTATAGGTTTCTTACATGTAATAAAAATTCTTTTCTGAAAGGTATTGCCGTCCTCAGGCTCAAGGATATCCTAAAGATATCTTTATTCTTGACACGTTTAAAATAATCTTTTTCCAACTTTTACAAAAAAGGAATGCCAGCAAATGACAACTTGGTTATGCTATGTTCTGCTGGGAGACTTCGTGTTCAAATGAATACAACAAAGTATCAATTTACGGTTGCCAAGTATGGTGGCACTTAATTGAGTACTGGCCTAAGATTTAAGAAGCCTGAGTTCTAACTGGTCCTTTAAAAAAAAAACAAAAACTTTTTTTAATGGCTGGTTAACCTTGGAGCAAATCACAACACCTCTTTAGGTCTGTTTTCTCATTTGTAAAATGAAATTAAACTGCTTATTTCTAGGGTCTCTTCCAGTTCATTACCAAAACTATAGTTTGGAACACATTTATAAGGCTGAAGGCCAAAGTAGGATTCACAGGGTTTTCAAGGTGTAAAGGTAACTTGTTCATGACAGCACCTACGACCATATCAAATTGTAACTACCTCCTCATCTTAAACAATGGCATCAGTCACTACTCCACCACCCTTACTAGACAAGAAGTCTCCTCTGATTGGTTCTGGGCCTCATCTCACCCTTTTCCCCCTATTTTCCCCATCTGAGTAGTCTCAAGATACAGTAAGTCCAGCATCTCTCTCTAGAACCCCTCTTCTGCTCTCCATCTCCCCATCACTATCACCATCTGCAATTCCAGCTCTCAGCACTTCACACCTGGACTCTACTGCAGCCTCCCAATCAGCCTTCAGTATCTTTCCACTCCCAGCTACTATTCTACAGACTGTCTCATTCCTGTTAAAAACACACTAAAGGTGACAAGTCTAAACTCCCGATCAGGGAATCCAAGTCCTTTTACAATATGATCCTAACCTAGCTCTTTACCCAGAATCCCTTGATCACACGTTATGTTCTCTCACACTTAACTCTAGAGTATATCAAATTTCTAAGGTCATTTTATGCTTCCTTGTCTCCAAGCAGCTGTTCCTTAGATTTGGGCTGCCATCCTTACTTTGCACACTTGAGTGCAGATGACAATGCGAGTTGTCTACTCAAAATCCATTCCTCACTTTCTCCAAACTCATAGAAGCCCAATTTTGTTCCCGTAGCCCACTCTTCAAGGACTGACACTATTTTCCAGTCCTGTGGTATGTTAAAAATCAATTTCTGACCAGTTCTGACCATTAAGACACAGGAGGAGTCCACAGCAAGGCTCCTGGGAAAGGTTTTAGTGCCTCTTTTTTAGATGGCCACTGTCACATATGAAATTGTGGCAATCATCCTATAATACCAATGGGAATTGCGTGAAGACAAAGCCACCAAATTGAGGATGGCAAAGTAAAGGGATAGAAATAATTTGGAGCTGGACATGGTGGCTCATGCCTGTTATCCCAGCACTTTGGAAAGCGAAGGTGAGAGAATTGCCTGAATCCATGGGTTCAAGACCAGCCTGGGCTGGTTGGCGAGACCCTGTCTCTACAATTAATAAATAAAAATTAGCCAGACACGGTGGCACAGGCCTGTAGTTCCAGCTACTTGGAAGGCTGAGTCATAAGGATCGCCTGAACCCAAAAGATCAAGGCTGCAGTGGCTGTGAGCATGCCACTGCACTCCATCCTAGGGACACAGTGAGACTCCTATCAAAAAAAAAAGAATTGGGTTCCTGGGACAATCACTAACTGCTAAGTCAGACAAATGGACACCTACCCTACAGTGGGATTATCTTTATAAAAGATAAATATGGCCTTTAAACATTTGACTAAAAGTGTTCTGTTATTGGCAGCTAACAGCATTTTATTAGATACCTTGCTAAAACTTTTACCCTTAAAAACTTAAGACAGTTTCTCTGTCATCTCCATGAAGTTCTCGCTGACACCTCCTGAAGTTAGTTACTTCTTTCTCTATGATTCCACTGCACATTTTTATGACTTCTATTATAAATTTATTATGTGAAGTAAGTTTTTACATCTGTATTCCATAAGCTACAGAATGCTAAGAAATAGGCATTCTTTCTATTTTATCTCTAGCTTGTGCCTCTCTCATGAGCTCTGCACTTACATATCTAACTATCTATTCAACATCTCCATTTGATGTCAAATGGAGATGTCTTATAGACATAAAACTTGATAACTATTTATCACAGAACTATTGGACACAGAACTATTTATCTCCTCCATGGCAGCAAACCACACCATCATCTACACTGTTATGGTCATACTAGTTCCACTCTTTTCTACTTCTCATACATAATCCACCAGAAAGTCTGGTTATATGCTCACTAGTCTCCAGCAACAATGAACTTTTCTCTAACCTTCAAACATGCCAACTTCATCCACCGAAGGCCTTACGTGCTCGTTTCCTTCCAGATGCTTCCCCTCAGCATCCAGGTTTCACCTCAAACAGTTCCTTCAAGGTCTCCCTTCTGCCCAACAATCCCACCTAAATAAAGCAGTGCCCTTGAAGGAGCCCATCACCTTCACCCATTGACACTCTACAACATATTCTTCAAAGCACTCATTTCTATATTCCTGAAATTATTTTATTTATATGAACTTACATTTTTACAATCTGTTTCTTTCCCACCCCTCAGCAGACGGTAAGCTCCTTGAGAATAAGAGTTCTATCAGATATATTCAATATTATACGAAGGTTGTCAAATACAGTGGGGGCTCAATAAATATTTCTAGATGGTCATATTCTCATTATTTCTAGATGGTCATATTCTCATTATGTCTTTTGAATCTACAGTAGCTAATACCCAGCACAAGTGCTCAGTGATTGTTTGGTGAATGAAAGCAATTTTCTAACTAGAAATTTTTTCATTATGTTCCTATCATAACCAATTTCAATAAAAGATATAAATGTCCCAAAGTTAAATCCATACTTACTACCAAGCAAGGGCTAGTTGAGGATGATTCATTCTCCTCTGGTAGCTGCAATAGTGATTTCATATGTTCACTGTTTGTACAATCCGCAGGCCGTAGACCAAATATGTTACTGGCAAAATAAGCAAGGCTAATTAAATATGTGACTTGTCTTAACTAAACCGATGTACCAGTGGAACAATTTTTTCAACATCCTTAATAATATACAATTTTAACTAAAATAAATTACTCAGAATTCACATTAGGCATAAGGATCAAGAATCAAAAGCTGCTGAATTCAAAGGAGAAGACGTAAAACTTCAATCTGATATCACATCATTATAGGGGTTGCTCTTCATTGAATATATTGTTACATACATAACATACATATAATAGACTATAGAGCCTACATAAACAAAGACAAAATTATATGCATTCACAAGACAAGCATTTAGACCTACTAGAAGGAAGGAAAATTAAGCTACATGACAAATAATTTAATAGAGCAGTGAACAGGGCATTTTAAAAATTAATTTTAACATGTATATATACTATAATCGATAATAATCACAGCCATGACAGAACAAACAATTATGGTTCAGAGAGCAATTCAATACAAATTTCTTAGCATGTACTAATTCACAAGTCACAGAATGTTACACTGAAAGAGAATTTGGAAGTATGATCCCATCATTGTATAGACAAGAAACTAAAGACAGGGAAACAGGTTCCAATAACTTGACTAAGGTCATATTCTCCTTGTTCATTTCGACTGAAATTAAATATTGCCTACACCTTAGTCTTTCAATTGTAAATAACAAGTTAAAACTACAGGACTTTTGTCTATGCTTCCTTACATATAGTTTCAAAATATGACTTAAATATAGTATGGCAGTACATTTTCAAAATCAGCATTTCTTTTACAATTTTTTATGGCTTTTAAGATTACAGTATATCCATAAAATGACCATTATAGTTTATCTGAAAGTGCAATGTGTTAAACAGGATATAAAATCATAAACATGACACAACACCAACTTGGTAAATTTTCTTGAATGTAAAAGAAAAAAGATCCAAAAGGAAACAGTGAAACATTAGGGGAAGAAGAGGGAGGAAGCTGTCAACTTTGTTTGATGCTAGAAGAGGAAATAAGCACCTACTGAGTTTAGAGACAAGATCATTAAAGCTGTCTTGATGGAATAATGGGAAAAGCTAGCTAGTGGATTAGAATAAGAAATGAACCACAGCGAATGTTTCTCTAACGACTGCTACTCATGACTCTCAAGTTCAGCTACTCTTTCTTCTTTGGCCTGTGCTGGATAAACACACACAAGTTTGTATTCTTAGTCTTCCCTTGATGTCCAGGTCAAACGTCAGCTATAGCTCTGGCAACAGTCTTTCTCCAGCCAAGGTATAACACAATCCATTGTGTTTCAGCCTTCTGATTTACAGCACAGTGACACAAGTCATTGTTTATATTATACCAATCTCAGGGTATTTCAAAAGGATCTCATCCACTATACTTGATACCGCCTAATTCATTATCCAAGTTATTATGCTCACATACCAGCTATGCAATCTCACACACACATACCATAAATATGAGAATCAAAAAATAGAAATCTGAGTTGAAGAACCAATATTCCAAGTGCAAACCTCCAAGTACAAAAATATGTCACACTATGTGCCATCAAAACCATTGCCCACACAAGGACTTTTTAACAAAGGCAAATGTAAATTTTATACCCCAAAGAAATGAAAGAACACAATCAAGTGCACCTTAATGTATACTAACTGGATGACTTTTAGTATAGTTATTTTACACAAATACAAGACCATTAAGACAATACGAAAAAGCGTTAACTATCAGCTAGGAAGACTTTAGACCAAAACATAACCATTAAAAAAAAAAGGTGTAGAACAGTAAGATGATTTCTTCTAAAGAACTTACTTCTCTATAAAATGACTAGTAGGATTACAATTTACATTTAGGGTCCTTACTGCACAAAACTTACTATCTCACATTGTTTTAAAACATGTGGTCTCTTCACTGGGATTATGGATAGCTTCAGCTTATATACAATTCACTGAACTCTTAACCCTCCCGTATTGCTAATGAACTGAACGGCACATTACAAGTGCTACAGATGGAAAGATAATCAGTTAAATCTCAGTCTTGCATCATGGGAGATAGAGTCTATTAAATCTTGTCATGTTGCTTCTGCTTTGTCATGAACCATTGAAATTTGGAATTAGGTATAAGTTTACATGTGGCAACTTCAAAAACTATAGCAAGAAAAAAAATAGGGCATATGTAAGATTTCTTCTGTATTATAAGGAAACCAAAAAGTGTGCTTTCTTCCCATAATGATATATTTGAACAGACTACCACTTTGCTTAGAGACTTAGTGTGAAAAATCAATTTTAAATGCACACAATTAGATTTATTCTCTTTGTAATAAACAGATTCTACATGGAGGGAAAAGCCACATGTTATAGCATATATCAGAGACTACCAATGTGACATTACTAATTGAAGACAATGAAAATCAGTTATTCTCCATGACTAAAATAGAGAAGATTTTTTAATTTCAATTTACTGCAACATCATGGACTCAAGATAGATATCAATAATTTAATTTGCTATTTTATTAGAATGGGTTAACAAGGGAGCTTATAGAATGATTTTTTTCTAAATATACTTAAATATAGTATATTCTCTATTTTCTAGTATTATTTAATCTATAAAGCCTTAATACTCAAACTAGGTATTGTGGAGGGATGTGTAAGACTTAGAAAACATTGTCCTTGCCTATAATCCTACTGAGGACAGACATACATTCAACAAACAAGTATCAAACCGATAAAGTATAAGCCAAAGCATAAGCAACAAGATGAAATATAGGATATATTTCCAAGAAGTCAAGAACACATACTGGAAAGCAAAATGGCCTTGAGCCCAGGACTAGAAACTAGAATATGGAGGATGAACGTGAAGAGCCCATGGAGAAAATAAGTGATGCGATTGTTAAAATGTATGGAATTGATGGAATAAAGTCTTCCATCAGGTTGAAGAATCTAACCACTGTGCGTTTATTATATAGGGACCAAATATAATATGAAAAGCTGATGAAATAATCAGTCATTAAGCAATGGACATTAGAGACAAAGAGAATATGTAGCTGTGAAAATGAAAAGGCACACATCTACCAGCTAAATTATATGAATTAGTGTAACACCAATGTTTTTAAAACTATTTTGAGAATACAAGTTAATGTCAACAACTTACCTGCTGAATTTACATGTAATGCATAACAGAACATTATTACCTTTTTATATGCACTACTTTTGACAATTTTGTTCTTTTAATGTCCTAGCAAAAAAGTCTCTAATTCACTGAATTACAAATGATTATACATAAATATACTTTATACTGAATACTAAAAAGTATAATTTTTGGTTACTGAAACATTTTAGATGATTTATGACCAAGAGGATATCTTTTTGATTCTACATTTTTTTCTGTTCCTTCATAACATTGGCAGATTTTACCAGTTTTTTCCCTCTAATATATATACCTTTACCTGTGATTTAAAATCATAATTTGAAAAACACATTTCGTATAAAATCTTTAAAAGATATGACTGAAGACTTTAAATTTTAAAGCCTTGACAGAAGATTTAAGTGTCCTTAAGTCACTGATTTTTTGCTACCTAAAAACTAGTAAAAAAAATATTGGAAGATAATTGCTGCTGATATACATTGATAGTAACTTCCCCGAGGTGGGCCGCAAAGAACCCAAAATGTATTTATTAAAAGTTGAGTATTTATTCTTACATGTTTAAACTTCAGTCACATTCAAAGTACCCTCCATTTGACGCACTGCACCTATCCAGATACTTTTTCCACTGCTCAAAACAGTCTTTGAACTCATCAGCAGTTTGATGTTTTTTAGTTCTTCTGCTGATTTTTATTTCACCTCTTCCCCACGGGCAAAGAAAGTTTCTCTGAAGACTTATGTCATCGGGGAAACAAACAAAAGTCACTGGGGCAAAATCAGGTGAACAGGGAGGGTGGGGCACGGGTCATGCAATTTTTAGCCAAAAACTGCTGAATACTTGGTACAGTGGGCAGGTACATTGTCATGGCAGAAGAACCAATCACCTATTTGCCACAACATGGGGCACTTCTTCCGCAAATCGTGATGCAACCTTCTCAAAGTTTCCAAATAAAAACTTTGGTTGACCATTTGGTCTGGAGGAACAAATTCCAAGTGTACTTACAAAGGGTCAATCAGCCCTCCAAAAGATAATTCCAGTTTATAGGACATGCTCCCTCATATATGAAGTAGATGTATAGATTAATATGCATATTATACATATATTAAAACTAGCAATAACCATTTATTTATTTAACACACACGCAATGAGTATTTGTGTATAAACATGTAGGGAGGTAGTTACAAATGTTGTATTGCAATCTGTTTGGAAAATATTTATTCGCTCAACAATTCTTTTTCTTCTTCTTTATTTTTTAACGTATCAAGTTCTCTTTTAGTCACTAAAGAACCAAGGAGATAAAAGGGAGTTTTTGTCCTCACAGAGCTCAGAGGCGGAAAGCAGAGAGTGCATAAAAAGGCTCGAAGCCTGGTAATGCTTCCCAGACCTGAAAGGGTAGAGAAGTGGGTACAGAAATAAAATAAGAATATTTGGCAGAAAGAAGAGTATGTGAAAGACTTTAAGTGATACAGTACAACAAATCAGAAACACCAAGACAGGAAGGAAGGGAAGGAGGGAGGGAGGAAGGGCGGGAGAGGGAGAGGGGGAGAAAAAAGGGAAAGAGAAAAAGAAGGGAGAGGGAGAGAAAAGGGAAAGAGAGTAAACGCATCACAGAAGCATGGGGTTTTCTGGAACTGTAAGCAGTGATCAAATTATATAAGAACAAGGGGAGGTATTAAAGAGTTAGACCTAGCTGGGCTTGGTGGCTCAGCCTGTAATCCCAGCACTTTGGGAGGCTGAGGTGAGAGGATTGCCTGAGCCCGCGGGTTCGAGACCCGCCTGGGCAACTTGGCGAGACCTCATCTCTACAATAAATCAAAAAATTAGCCGGGCGTGGTAGCGCACCCCTGTAGTT